GCGTCGGCGGGTTGGCGCAGTTAACGTCGTCTGCTTTACGTCTGCTAGTCAAAGCAATGGCTGCTTTACCTTTCCTGCGTCTGTCGGAGATTCACCGCTTTTTCACCGGCGAGAGTCACCGTTGCCTCAGGAAACAAGGAGATAACAAGAGGAAGAAATTTACCTCTTAATCTAAAATTGAGGTCAGCGATCAAAGTATAATACGGGAAGGGTTCACAATGGTCGCGCGGGCATATTCCATTCAGCACGCCAGCCGGTCGCGGGCAGACGGTCGCCGAGTCGCGGAGTGCCTGCTAGGCCTAACTGCCGTGCTCGCTTGGTCGCGTTCGGTGGAATCGTGGCCGTTGGAGCTTTTCCCGAGTGTTTGTGGATCCAGCGTTCTCGTTCGTCGTGGTCTGTTTCAAGTACTTTTTACTTTTTTCTTGCTGCTTGAAGTCGGGACGCGTGAGAAGCGCACGTAAAAAAATAAACGTCAGTGGGTCGCCGCGACCGCGACGCTGTCGGCCATGCTGATTTGATCGTAAGAAGTGCGTAAGACAGCTTCGGAGCTGTCGTAGGATTTCGTCGTAACCTGCGCAAAACTTACGCAAATTTCGTTTCGTGAATACGAATTTGTTCTTAAGTTTTGTCTTACGCACATTTTTGGCTTAAGGGCGTTTCGTGAATCTGGCCTCTGCGCTTCCGAAAGTCGCAGGAAAGGTAAGACAGATGCAGACGACGTTGCGAGCAGACGACGTTGCAAAAGAGCAGACGACGCTCAGATAGGGAGTCGCGATCAGCCAATCAGGGCTCGGCGTTCTGACGTCACCGCTACCCCCTGCGCAAGAAGCAGACGAACTTGCCCTCCGCATAGGTTGTTGTGGGATGCAGGGACGTTTCGTCGAGCGCGTATCACTGGGACGCGTGTTAACACATGCGGACCACTTGTTTACGCTGCTTCGCAGCGACAGACAGCGCAGCTTATTACCAAAAAAGGTAATTCCAGCTGTCGATGTAACTGCTCACTGCTGTTCGTGGACGGCGGCACTTTGTAGGGACGTTTCGTTGCGTGTGCATCACTGGGCGCGTTTTAGCCCATTCGGAGCACCCGTCCACGCCGATTCGCGGCGACAGACAAGGCGGCACATTACAAAAATATGCTAATCAGAGCTGTCGATGCAACTAGACCCATTCGCTACTATGAACGCCGCATTGGCTAAAGTGTCATTCGATGAAACGTCGTGGTTTCGTTTTCATTGGTTCGATCAAGTGAAATATGCCCCCCGATGTATACGACAGACGACGACAAAGAATAGAAGGAGAACGTCTTTTAAATTTAATCTTCAGGGCCTGTTCTTGTCCAAGTTCCGTGTCTGTTCATGGTCAAAACTCTCTTCTTCACACTTTGCTTTTCGTTCATACTGCGCCTTTTTTGTATCCGTACGTTTCTGAAACAGTCAAGATCGTTCCGCAGATATCATCCCTGCCTCCAGAGCACCTGCCTCTTTCTATGTGGATGAGCATTATCATACCGGCGTGCGTTCGTGACACTATTAGCACTATACTACGCGAGCATGTCGAAGACCATAAGCTGGCGTCCATACACTGTACAGATAAATTACCATCCAAACCCGGACCACATTGTAACCTAAAGTATCCACACACGCAAAATTCTGCTTTCAGGAAGCTACAACTACAGAACAATTCTGTTCTTACTAGTTGAAATAACGTAGTATCGTTTATAATCGTGCTGTACGAATAAACGGACAGGCATCTTGCAGAGGCCATCCAGCAACCAATTTTGTTTCATGCTGACCACAACTCAACTACCTTGGTCGTCCACAGAGTTAAAGAACCCATGAAATGAATATTGGGCTGGGGTAAATCATTTTAGATTAGGATTTTACTAATAGCACATTCAGGGGCGGATTTAGAGGGGGGGTCCGGATGTCCTGACCCCCCTCTTGATTTTTGCATGTGTAAAATTTTGGGGTGTAAAACGAAGGAGAGGGGAGGGGGGTTCCTAAACATATGGTACGCTGACCAACACCTGACCCCCCCCCCCCCCCCCCCACCTCAGGAAATTCCTGCATCCGCCCCTGAGCACATTGCTGAGTGGGCCAAACGAAAAAAGGTAGAAAGTGAAAAGCCTGACTTTCAGTGCGAAAATTTGAAAACACAGCACACTATTTCGAACCTTCGCCCCTTCGTAAGCTCTGTCTTTTCTCTGTGATACATCCGCGGTCTTAAAGGCGCCTCATCGGGTCCAAACGCACGTCAAATGAGACCGGACCTCACTTAATCCCTTCACCCCTAAGCTGTCATTGTGGTGGAAGCTACGCGTTTGCCGGACCAATCAGCCGCCTCCCTTTCATCACCTGACCTCATTTTCTGCGGGTAGGTATGCGCGAAGGAGCGTGATCACGTGGCAAGTGTGGCTGGCCCAACGAGTACGTAGCTTCCACAGCACTGTCAGCTTCGGGGTGAACGGGTTGGGTAAGCCAACTTTTGTCAGAATTTGGAGCGACGGGCTAATCTTCTAGGGGGACAATGGTTCTGCCCGGGTACGGAAACCAGATTCCGAGCAAGAGGGGCCTCCCCTCTTTTCGTCTTCTTGAACTGTTTGGTGGAATGCGCGATTTATGAGTTGAGGAGGGAAGCTTGAGGAAAAAGTTGGAAAAACGTCAGATATCTACTGAGACATCACGCCTCCGGATCGCTTGAGATCAGCAGCATCGGCAGTTCGTCAGTCTGACCTGAGACCGTGAGCACAGTAAGTACTGCACGCGTGCGTGCAAACATTCCCAGCTGGTGCCCGCGCGTGGATGCCCGTGCAACATACGCGTGAAGCCAACTTTGCCAGTCTTGCACGTGCTTCTACCACGAGCAGAGACATGACGGCGCCCAGATGTCCTGTTCGCAAAAGTCTATACTTCGCTTCAGCTTCCGTGCGAGCGAAGCTGAAGCTACAAGCGCGTGCATGCAGCCTGAAACGCCACACTGCAAAAGCCCACGTGCGAGTCAGGAGCGCACCTTGCATTGGGCTCGCGCTGTAGCTTTGAGTACATGTATCCCTCCGCCAAACATCCAGGCCTTCATTGCATCAGTTTTGGTTTCGTTTTCGGTTTGGGTTTCGTTGTCGGTAATCAAGGCAACCACTGTATACAACTCGTTAGTGTCTATCAAAACCGTTTCCAGTCGACATACGAACTTCGCGACTCTCAGCACTAAGGAACAATTACGAAAAGAGTGTTATGTTTATATTTTCTTTTTTAAAAATGATATTCGTGTAAATCAAATTTCACGGCAGGAGGCCGTTTATGATCTCGTAGTTCTGCGCTCCTCTACCTCCTTTTCCTTTTGTTACCTACTACCAGATCGCATAATCTACAACACCATCTTTGCGACGGAAAATGGCTAGAAAACCGGAGAACCCGCGACGGACACAAACCGAAAAAACATTTAGTAACTAGAAAACTAATTTTATTTTTTATTTTCATTGTTCAAGATTCATAGTGATGTGACAATTATTATTCAAAAGATGAATATTAAGATCATAATTTACGTTACAGCCAAAACACAATTTAGACCCGGGGACTGTGTTCAGCTGCGTAAGAAGACAGCGTGCTTCGGCGCTGTAGCTTTGGCAGCATTGCCAAGAAAAGTTGTCGCCGAGTATAGTGTTTGCTAGAGCACCTTCATGGACATGAAGGCTCCCTAGGGTTTGCGAAGCGCAACCAGCCTCGGACGCTCTGCGTCGTCACGTGCGCGTTTTAAAGATACAAGAAAAAGACGATCAAGTTGGGTTGACTGCTTAGCATATGACATACATTCATGTTCCTTGTTTGCATATTGTTACCGGTTTTTGTATTTGCATGAAATAAAAGATAGACCTAATTTGGGGAATCTAAATGGAAGCCATCACACTTCCAGATGAGATTTTATTTGTTGACTTTCCTTACTAAATGAAGACTGGGCCTGATAATTTCATAAAATGCCACGTCGTCAAATTCAGTTCCGTTGAAGTTTCATCTAATGCCATTCATCAAATCCATTTCATTGATTATTTCCAGCCTAATCACAAACAGTTGTAGGCTCCAGAAGAGATGTCTATTGTCACCCATTTTTGTTTTGTATGTGAGGTCGTAAAGTGTAAAAAACATTTAGTATTTTTTGTTAGTTTCAGGGGGTGCTCTTGTTTGTATAGGTGATAATGGAGCTGGCTAAATTATAAAATGGCGTTCGATGAAACAGCGTTACATGAAATATCCGATACCCGCTGAAGACTTCCTCGTGCCTCATATTATTAAATGAAAATCTAAAATAAAAAAAATAAAAACATTCCGAAGGAAAAGGCATATAACAGTAGTCAGTGATTATTAGCTGTAGTGTTGCAGGCCTTCATGGCATGGGCTACTTGTTTACTTTTCTGTGGCACGTGCTGCAGCTCTGCTCGAGTTTGGTGCAAACAGTGCATTTGGCAACCGCCCTATTTAGTTTTGCATTCAGCTGACAATTTCACGAAGTATTTAAACCCTCGACTACTTCCTCCTTACAACCTTGGAACCTACACCTAAGCGCATCACTTGAATGGCTGACCAACATTGCACTGTCTAACTATTTACACACAACCATGGTGGGGCGATGGGTGTGGGTCGACGTTTCTGCTGCATTTACCCTCTCCACACCGTCCCCCCTCTCCAACCCCCAAACGAAGAAGGCTTTGAGTAAATTACTGTCAATACCATATTTTGTATTAATTTCAACTTTGTTCCCCGCAGATGCCCGGTGTGCGGTACTTCTGCTGTCCAAAGTGCCAGTGGAGGACAGTCACCCTGACATCATTGTTCCGACATTTTCATGCAAGCCATGGTCATGAGGGAAACTGGATATGCGGACTACAGGGTTGCATGAAGACATTTTCTCTTTATACATCCTACAGAAAACATGTTACGTGCAAGCATGCCACTTTGTTTGAAAGTTATGCAACAGAAAGGCCCAATGAGCCACAAAATGCCAGCATGGATACAGGCCAGCCCCTAGCAGGAGCGGAAAATGACGAGGCAGCTTCTGACAACCAAGACGGGCAAGATGATGGGGACCACGTTAAGCTGCTAGCACTACTGTTCCTGAAATGGAAAGAAGCGAGACGACTTCCTGAATCCACATTGCATGAAATAGCAAATGATGTCCTTTCATACCTTGAGAGGATTGGTGAGCATTTTGAACCATCAACATCTCATCCGCAACGGCAGCCAGGGTTGCAGTGGTTGTCCGAATTGTTCCCAGTGACCGTGTCACTGGGAACAAACAAAAACGGAAAAGCGGACACTTTTCGATATGTTCCTGTATGCAAAATGCTCAAATGTATACTTGAAAACCCAAATGTATGGAGCGACTTCCACAGTCACCATGTAGAGGACGGTTACCTGTCCAGCGTCTTTGACGGCACCGCCTACCATGACCACGCATATTTTCAGGGTGATCCCAAAAATATCTGCATCCAGCTATATAGTGATGAATTTGAAGTTTGTAACCCTCTGGGAAGTAAGAGGGGCAAACATAAACTGACAGCAGTTTATTTTTCCATTCTGAACTTGCCCCAGATGCTGAGATCACGTCTGTCAGGGATTCACCTCGTGCTCTTGGTGAAAGACAAGCTTGTAGCGCCGTACGGACTGCAGAAGATATTGTCACGGGTGGTGACCAATAAACAAGAAATAAACAGAAATAAACAGAAATAAATGAGCGTTTAATGTGGCGAACTTGTGCCAAAAATAAAGAAGGCAACAGAAGAAAGCAGAGCGTCGCGGGCGTCGAAGTCGGCGTGTCAGCAGAATCGAGCGCTGGGGCGAGACTGACTCGACAAAGTCGCTGGCGGCCTCTTATCTAGAGTGAGCGCTATCTCGAAGTTTCGGCGGAGAAGGTTCGAGCGTAGCGCGCTCGGCGCGAGAATGAACATGCACATTCTGGAAAAACAAGAGCAGGGATAAACGATAGAAGTTATGTCAGTAGTAAGAATAAACGAGAACCTTCTACAAGTCCGTGACCTTGCGCGCGGCATTATCCCCCCCTTTAAAAGCGCATCGTCTCGATGCAGCACAAAACGAAAAACAAATCCACAACTAAAGGACAGTAGAATTGCGAGCCATAGTTCACAGTTCACCAGTTCACTGTTCACCGTTCACTGTTCACAGTTCACACGTCGACGACGGTGGAAAGTGCTATCGTTCGTAATACGGCTTCAGCCGGACGACGTGCACCACCTCGGGTCGTGGCTGGCGTCTTGCAGATGGACGCGTTCCGTCGGGAAGGACTTCGTAGTTCAGATCGCCGAGCCGTCGGATGATCTTGTAGGGTCCGAAATAGCGTTTCAGAAGCTTCTCGCTGAGACCGCGGCGACGGATGGGCGTCCACACCCACACCCTGTCTCCGGGCTGGAAGTGAACGTCCCTGCGACGAAGGTTGTAGCGGCCCGCGTCGACGCGTTGCTGGTCTTGAATCATGAGTCGGGCGAGCTGGCGGACTTCCTCGGCGCGTTGAGCAACCACCTGGGCGTCGTTGCTCTGATTGTCAGATGGCTCATGGGGCAGCATTGCGTCCAGCATGGTCGTCACCTTCCGACCATGTACCAGCTGAAAAGGGGTGAATCCAGTGGTCTCCTGAACCGCCGTATTGTAGGCGAACGTGACGTAGGGCAGCACCTCGTCCCACGTCTTGTGCTCAACGTCGACGTACATAGAGATCATGTCGGCGATTGTCTTGTTCAGTCTTTCCGTCAGCCCGTTGGTCTGCGGGTGGTACGCAGTTGTACGACGGTGGCTGGTGTGACTGAGTCGGAGGATTTCTTGGGTCAGCTGCGCCATGAACGATGATCCGCGATCTGTAATCAAAACTTCTGGAGCGCCGTGCCGGAGGACGATGGACTCGATGAAAAACTTGGCGACTTCAACAGCCGTGCCTGCTGGAAGGGCTTTCGTCTCGGCGTACCGTGTGAGATAATCGGTGGCGACGATAATCCAGCGGTTTCCCGACGTTGACGGCGGGAAAGGGCCAAGTAAATCCATTCCGATCTGCTGGAACGGCATAGACGGGGGAGAAATCGGGTGCAGAAGTCCTGACGGCTTCGTCGGCGGCTTCTTGCGTCGCTGACACTCATGGCATGATCGAATGTATAGGTGAACGGTCTTCGGTAGCCTCGGCCAGTAGTACTTTTCACGAATCCGGGCGAGCGTCCTGCTGTATCCAAGGTGTCCAGCCGTCGGGTCGTCATGGCATGCTTGAAAGATTTCCTCTCGCAGGCTGGCCGGAACAACCAGCAGCCAGGCAGTGTTGCTCGTTCCGAAGTTCTTCTTGAAGAGCACGCCTCGCCGCAGAACGAAGCTTGGCAGGTCTCGGGCCAAGACTCGCGGAACTGAACTTCCTTGACCTTCGAGGTGGCCCATCACGGCGCGAAGTTCGGGGTCGTCTCGTTGAAGTGCTCCCATGTCAGTATCCGTAAGTGCTCCGAGAAAACGGGCGTCATCGTCGTCGTCGGTGCTGTCGGGTGGAGATTCAATTGGGGCCCTAGACAAACAATCGGCGTCATTATGCTTGCGGCCAGACTTATGCGCAATGGTTACGTCAAATTCTTGCAGTCGAAGGCTCCAGCGAGCGAGGCGTCCTGACGGGTCCTTAAGGTTGGCGAGCCAACAGAGAGCGTGGTGGTCCGTGACAACGCGGAACGGGATCCCGTACAGGTACGGACGGAACTTGGTTAACGCCCAGACGACAGCGAGACATTCCTTGTCGGTTGTTGAGTAATTTTTCTCTGCCTTGGACAGTGCCCGGCTTGCGTAAGCGATCACCCTCTCTGCTCCGTCTTGTCTTTGGACGAGTACCGCGCCTAGTCCGGCGTTGCTGGCGTCCGTGTGCACTTCCGTTTCCGCTGACGGATCGAAGTGTCCGAGAATGGGGGGAGACTGGAGTCTTTCCTTCAGTTCGTTGAACGCCTGTTCTTGCTCCTCCCCCCACTGGAAGTTCACGTCGTCCTTCGTCAGATGTGTGAGCGGTGCAGAAATCTTAGCGAAATCGCGAACGAAACGCCTGTAGTATGCGCACAGCCCAAGAAATCTTCGCACGGCCTTCTTGTCTGATGGCTTCGGAAATTCGGCGACAGCGGATGTCTTTGAAGGGTCAGGACTTACACCTTGAGCACTCACGACATGGCCCAGGAATTTGAGCTCGCCGTAAGCGAACCGACATTTTGACGGCTTCAGTGTCAGTCCGGCATTCTGGATAGCCTGTAGCACGGCTCGCAGGCGTCTCAGGTGCTCGTCGAAGTTGGTGGCGAATACCACGACGTCGTCGAGATAGACGAGACAACTTTGCCACTTCAAGCCGGAAAGAACGGTGTCCATTACGCGCTGGAACGTCGCCGGTGCTGTGCATAGTCCGAACGGCATAACTTTAAATTCGTACAGCCCGTCCGGCGTGACGAAGGCGGTCTTTTCACGATCTTGTTCGTCCACCTCGATCTGCCAGTACCCACTCTTCAGGTCCATCGACGAAAAGTATCGGGCGTAGCGCAGCCGGTCCAGGGTGTCGTCGATGCGTGGCAGCGGGTAGACGTCCTTTTTTGTTACGGCGTTAAGTCGGCGATAGTCCACGCAGAACCGAAGGGTCCCGTCTTTCTTTTTCACCAGGACTACCGGTGAAGCCCACGGACTCCTTGAGGGCTGAACAATGTCGTCATCGAGCATTTCTTGGACCTGCTTCTGGATGACTTCTCTCTCTTTGACAGAGACACGGTACGGCGACCGATGAACAGGAAGCGCGTTGTCTTCAGTGACAATTCGGTGTTTCGCAACGGTCGTTTGGCGCACCTTTGACGACGTGGAGAAGCACTCGTTGAACTCGACGAGTAGGTCACTGAGTTGTCGTCGTTGTGGGGTAGGCAGGGTTGGATCGATGTCAAACCGCGAAGGCGGCGTTGTCTTGGGTGGCCATGAGGAGAGGTCTTCTGATATTCCGGCGATTGCGGCTGAGTCCGGGAGTTCCTCCGCGTGACCCACGGCGGTGCCTTTCGTAAGGTGCTGGGCCTCCTGTCGGAAGTTCGTTACGAGTGCGACAGTGTGTCCGTCTTGGAGCTCCGTGACGCCTCTTGCGATGCCGATCCCTCTTCCTAGAAGCAACTGGAGGCTTCCTTCGAGCAAAACGTCGCCGCAGAAAGTCTCATCGACCCCGACGGGTACGAAAACACTTGACCGCGGTGGTAGGTTCACGTGGTTTGCGAGGACTCGTACCGCGGATGACGTCGCTTTGGGGTCCTCCTGCGGTGGAGCAGGTTTTCGTAGCGTCAGCCGGTTTGCTCCGAGGTCGATGACGGCGCCATACTCGCAGAGAAAGTCCATTCCGAGGATAATGTCCCTCGAACAGTCTTGCAGAACGACAAACTTGACAGGGCACGTCTCACCGTGGATCTCGACGCGAGCAGTGCATCTCCCAACCGGCGTGATGAGGTGCCCTCCGGCGGTTCGTATTTGAGGTCCATCCCACGGCGTCGTGACTTTTCGAAGACGGCGGGAGAGCCTCCCACTCAAGACTGAGTAGTCTGCTCCGGTGTCCACGAGTGCTGATGCGTCGTGGCCGTCGATAACAACGTTTAGGTTGTTGGACACCGATGCAGAAGCTTCGTTGCGATGCGTGGCGTCGGGAGAGTGGGAGCGCTCCGTCGTTCTTGGAGGCTCTTTACGTCGGTCGTCTTCGGCAACTCCACCTCCAGGGGTTGCCGCGCCTAGTTTCCCCGGCGAGGAGCGAGGGGTGACAGGCTTTCACGTCGGGGTCGGTGCATCGGCGAAGCCGGACGTCGTGGCGATGGCGACCGGAACTCTCGGCGGGAGGCAGGCTCGGGGGACTGAGGTCGTCGAAGGTACTCGTCGATCTCCCGAGGGCGTTCACCGTAACGGGGGCGGGGGTCATTCGGGTGGAATCCGCGCAGCCCGAGTCGTCGGTATGGGCATTGGCGGTAGGTGTGGTTCGCTTCCCCGCAGTGGAAACACAAAGGACGTCGGTCGGGTGTTCGCCACACGTCGGTCTTCCGAGGTGCGCGGGGCTCCTGGCCGGCATACTGGACCTGGTCGTCGCGGTGGCGGTCGTGCTGCGGCGCAGGAGATCGACGTCGGGGCGGAGCGACATAGGCTCGAGGAGGAGGTGGTGGCCTTCGGGCCACTGCAGCGTAGGTCAGGCTGGGCTCCTCGGGTGCTGCTGCGATGACAGGAGTCTCCGCCTGGAAGGCTCGGTGGACCTCCTCTCGTACGACTTCGGCGAGTGAGAGAGAAGACGGGCTATCTGCAGCAGGTAGGATCTTGCGGAGCTCTTCCCGGACGATATCCCGGACGATCTCCCGGAGGTTGTCGACACCGTTGGTATTTGGGTCCAGTAGGGAAGCTGTGACGGTTGGAGCAGTAGGCGCGCCGGCGAGTCGGTGGTAGTGGCTTGCTCGGGCCGTCAGTGCGCGCTCGATGTTGGTGGCTTCACTGACAAAAGCACCGACGGTCGTCGGGGGATTCCGAACCAGGCCTCCAAAAATTTCTGCCTTGACGCCTCGCATGAGGATTCGAAGTTTCTTTTCCTCTGTGGCCTCCAGGTCGGCTCGGGCGCTTAAACGCAGGACATCCTCCACGAAGGCGGTGATGCTCTCGTTGGGCCCTTGAGTCCTGGTACGCAGTAAGTCTTCGGCTCTCTCTCGGCGATGCTGGTTGACGAATGTCGCCTTCAGCTGGCTCTTGAAAATGTCCCAGGATGTCAACGAAGACTCGTGATTTTCGTACCAGCTTCTGGCAGTCCCCTCGAGCGAGAAATACACGTTTTGCAGCCGTTGCTCGTTGGTCCAGCTATTGTGGCGGGCGACGCGTTCGAATTGGTCGATCCAATCTTCAACGTCTTCGTGGAGTTCGCCGTGGAACGGAGCCGGTGTCCGAGGAGCGACGGGTAGGTAGACGACGGCAGGAGCGGCGGGGGTCTGCGACTGGTTGGCCATCGTCGGCTGCCTGGTCCTGGGTGGTAGAAGTCCGTATTCCGGGTTTAGCCCTTGGGTGCGGCGACTTGATCGAGTCTCGATCTGGTCTTCGTTGGGTCCTCGGGAGCTTGGGTTCGGACTTGTACTGCGGGAACTCGGAGGGCTGCGCTGCACGAACATGCGGTACCCCGCACCTCCACCAGAATGTCACGGGTGGTGACCAATAAACAAGAAATAAACAGAAATAAACAGAAATAAATGAGCGTTTAATGTGGCGAACTTGTGCCAAAAATAAAGAAGGCAACAGAAGAAAGCAGAGCGTCGCGGGCGTCGAAGTCGGCGTGTCAGCAGAATCGAGCGCTGGGGCGAGACTGACTCGACAAAGTCGCTGGCGGCCTCTTATCTAGAGTGAGCGCTATCTCGAAGTTTCGGCGGAGAAGGTTCGAGCGTAGCGCGCTCGGCGCGAGAATGAACATGCACATTCTGGAAAAACAAGAGCAGGGATAAACGATAGAAGTTATGTCAGTAGTAAGAATAAACGAGAACCTTCTACAAGTCCGTGACCTTGCGCGCGGCAATATTTGGTCCCCTAGCAAAGGACATCTTGCAGCTTGAGAAAGATGGTGTAGTTGGGAATGGAGAAGTGCTCCGTGGCTCTGTGCTAGTAATGACAGGGGACAACCTCTCGAGTCACAGGCTGGGGGGATTTAAATGCAGCTTCAGCAATGGCCGAATTTGTCGATTTTGTATGGCTTTCCGCAAGGAAATTAACTACAAGCATCTCGAACAAGATTTTGTGCAGCGGACCCCTACGGGACACAGGCATCATATCAATATGTTAAGGTCTGGGGTACATACTAATTCACTCTACGGGGTGCGAGAGCCTTGTTGCCTGACATTCTCTGGCTTCGAGCCGTCGGAGCACTTCCCACCCGACGTGATGCACGACATTCATGAGGGAGTCATTCCATTCGTAATGAGACATGTCACTTTCCATCTGATCTCTCATGGCTTTTTTACCCTCGGTACACTTAACACACGCATTTTGAACTTCAACTATGCTCCTTCTGATGTCAAGAACAAGCCAGAAGAATTGTCGAATGAGTACTTGAAAGGGAAGTCAAACATTAGAGGGAGCGCGTCACAGATTTTTTGCTTCTTTAGACATTTTTCTTTGTATGTCGGAGAGTGTGTGCCATCTGGAAATGAGGCCTGGCAACTGTATCTCTTGCTGAGAAAAGTAGTCAATATCATCATGAGCCGCAGAATTCCTGTAACCCAAGTGCCATACCTTCAGCGGCTCATTCATTTTTTGTGCCTTGATTTTCAAGCACTCTTCCCAACTACTTTTGTACCATGGAAGTTGCACTACTTGACTCACTACCCGTCTTGCATCTTGAAGTACGGTCCACTTGTCAACCTGTGGGCAATGCGCTTCGAGTCCAAACACCAATATTTCAAGGATGTTGCTCGTAAGCTGCACAACTTCAAGAACATTGCCCTCACGTTGGCAGTAAGGCACCAGTATTTGGAAATGTACCTAACCACAGAAGTGACCAGTGAGCATATTGTCACTACAGGCTGCAGGTCCATCTTGTTCGAACACCTGCCAGAGATGCTCAGACTGCACATTGTAGAACATGGGCTCGCAAGGAACAATGCCGTTGCATTGAACTCGGTTACCATTGATGGTTTTGCTTATTCAGAAGGCTGTGCTCTTGTCCAAACTGTCACAGAGGATGATCACCCAGAGTTTGTGCAAGTATGCGAGCTCTTCTGCGTGAACAAAAAAATCTTGGTCCTGGCGCAAGTGCTTGAGACGATTGAGTTCAATGACCACTTTCATGTGTATGTTGTGCGTGTCACCACGGAATGGGTTGTCCTAAGCAACCTCCATGATTTTCCGACCGAGCCGCTGTTTGTGAAAAAGAAGGCGAACAAGCTTGTGATCAACGCACGTCACAGTTTGTTTTGAGTGTATAGTGCATACAAGGTGCTACCCAAAAGTTCCAGAAATTTGCTAGTAAAAAAAGGTTTCTTACCGTAACCCCTAGTTTCCACCGTCTCATTCGAAGTAACCCCGCTATAATGTGTACAGTGATTTTCTGCATCCCACAAAGTTCCCCTTATTTCATGCACCCCTGGAAGTTCTCGAGTGGGTTGAGGACCTCTTGCGGGACTGGCTGGATTTCCCCAATCGTGTTAAACCAACGCCCTTTCAGCCGTGCTCTCATTTTGAGGAATAGGAAAAGTCACAGGGGGCAAGGTCAAGGAAATGAGGAGGGGGGGGGGATGGAGCCAACGTAATGTTTTTGGAAGTCAGAAATTGTCAAACTGCGAGTGATCTGTGAGTGGGCGCATTGTCATGGTGGAGAAGCCCATTGTTGTTCTTCCACTTGTCTGGATGTTTGCGACAAATGGCTTCTCTCAGGCACTTTGAAAGCTCAAAGTAGAACTTCCCAGTGACAGTTTGACCAGGATAGTTTGCCTACAAACTGCAAGGAGAGCCTCGCAAGCTTTTGCTATAGTTTCTGCTGCTGTGCTTGTTGACAGTTGACCGGAGTGTTCAGTGTCATCGACAGAAGTTTCTTTGTTCTTGAAGCGTTTGTACCACAAAAAGGTTTTGCTTTGGGTCATGACGTTATTTTCGAATGCCTCCTGTAGCATACGATGGGTTTCTGCAGCAGTTTTTCTTTTTGTTGGAAACAGTATTTGATACACATTTTTTTGTTTCTTAAAGGGCAACTCTGCTTCATTTCTGTTATTCAGAAAACACTGTAGACCTCTACACGCTGAATATTACGACCAAGTTCCGTCTAAATCCATGGAAAAAGGACCAGCAAACTTTGGTACGAGCGAAGTCCCCAAAATACGCTAACTCTAGTGGATGACGGAAGCACAATCAACAGCACAGTCAATACTATGAAGTCGGCACAGCCAACATTGAGCCACTGCCTAAATTACATGGCCACGTGGTGCAACGTCATAAGCAGGACTATGTTTTGTTTGTTTTTAGTTCTCTGGGCAAAGCTAGCCGGTGACGTCAGCAGTGTCTCTTCCCGGTGTTGGCTCAGCGGCGTCCACGTGACCAGTGCCGACCCGGATGCACGACGCCCTCGAAGCTTCTCAGTGTCGTCTGCTTCACCTCTGTTGCAATATCGACGTTTTGTTTGCGCTATGTGCGCATAATCTGTGGCTTATTGGTGTAATATTTAGCAGAATTAACCACCTAATGATGATTACGGGAAATTCCTTTGAGAAAACTTGGCTTTGCATCTGATTAGGCGTAGTCTAAGGCCGCAGGAGTGGAAACGCCATCGAACGTGGAGCAGATGGCATTTGTGCCCGCTCGACTGTGTCCTCATCTCCTCGAAAAGAATCATGTGATCGCTTGTATCACATGATTTGCCAACGCTGCCTGTGGGAGCCGATGTTTCGGTTTCGATTCCAGTCGATTCTGACTCATGTTTAAATTAAGATTACATCAAAAATATTTCACATTTCGCCAAAGCAAATATATGGGGCCGTTTATTAGTGCTTTCGAGGGTGCGCTCAAGCATAACCCCAATTTTTCTGGAATTGAACGGAGTTGCCCTTTGACATCAGTCATATTGGCTGAAAAGAAAATCGCCGATGAACTAACACATATACCTTACAAAATCGCACTGAAGAGAACAATGCGTCCTCTCAGCTGCACGACTTTTAGCATATGGATTCACAAAGCATACTGCTTGCCACAGCTAACTGTTTGAGCGCTCTTTTTATATTCCCAGAAATTTTGGGTAGCACCTCGCATAAAAATGTAAATAGTTTTGCTTCTGATCGTTCTAGTGAGCTTCGAGCATGTGCAAAAACCTTAATGTTATCTCGAGCAAGGTTTTTGATTCCTAGATTGGTTTCCTGTTAAAATAAATGCAGAGCTAACCCAAGTTGGTCAGGCTCAGGTGAGACAGGCGTGGTGGGGTGTTTTGAATGATAGAGGGGTTAGGCCTGAACCAACATCCCACCGGGCTACTTCCTACTTGAATGGTGGGGAGACCAAAGGTCACCACTTTGAAGGGACTTCCAAGTGATTCTCTAGCTTTTATCAAACTGTGACCCAATAAACCCCAAGTGTTTATAAGACTGAGAATACGAATCCATCTTCGTTGGAATGTATTAACATTTACAAAATATAATAAAAACTGTCAGTTTTCATTCTAATCCAGTGAAATGAGTGGTCATGTGTACGAAGCAGCAAGTGCCAGAAACAGCTGGCGCCCTGCCCTTCTTGTTCGTTGTCAGAGCAAGCTCTCGACAAGGCTCTGCAAAATATGGCATGCTGTGACAGTCATGCTGCTGCAGTATTGTTATGGGGACATGGAAAGTAATGTCATTCTGTGTCCCTGTAATACGCCCGACACTATACTTCATTAGCTCCTTAGCTCCTGGAATTTCGAGACTTCCTAACCATGGAAGGACTGGAAGTCGTTCATAAATAATGGGCTACAGATGTGTCCTGTCATGTCGGCTACCGAAATCGTTGTAAGCACTGGACATCCCTTGATTTCTGTGAGAAAAATACCACTGAGGTCTCCAGTTGAACGGTGCATGTGACAAGTAAGTGTGTAATTATTTTCTTTTCTGCCTAAAGTATGAAAGGCTTTCAGCTCCTGTTCTCGCCAAGCTTCTCTGAAACCTCTTCAAAACCTACTCCAAATCTTTTTCCAATTTCATTCTGAAACGTTTTCGAAATTTGCGCACAAATTGTGCGTTTACCAATTATAAAGGAAAAACAATTTGTTGCCACTCCAACCCCCAAGAAACATTATTTTTAAGATAGACCAGATAGGACACGCATGTCAAAAAATCAATTTTCCACAAAAAAAATATTTTAATTGGAGCATTATCTACAGCATGAGACACACCATCATGCGCAGCGAAATCGTCTACTCCTTACCGCACTTTACCAACTTTACCAAGGCACCAGCTTCCCATTGGTTGGAAGAATGATTGACGTAGGGTGCGCTGCCGAGCAGCCAAGCTAATGCGATAGCGATGGGCGTGGCTTAGTCGCTTGAGGCGGGGCTACCTCTCCTTCTCCGCGTGCATCGCCCGCTTGCTTCAATCGCGTCTCGCGCCATAAGTATTGCTGGAATTAATTCGGGTTTCGCGGAAAACGCATCTTTTGACGTGTGTGTCCTATCCAGCCTGTCGAGAAAAAAATATCTTTTTAGGCTGGGTGGCTCTTTAAACCTTGATGCACACGAAGCATCTTCTGTCAGGAAAAAGACCCTTTCCCAATGTCCGTCGCTCCATTCCTCCTCAAACTCTTCACTCCTCCTTGCCCGAAAGGAGCGGGTCTGGAAGTTAACCTCTGCTGTAAGGAGGAGGGCTCTCTTTTTTAGGTGGAAAGAAAAAATCGAGGGGAAGTTTCTTCCTCTCTGCTTGCTGGTCGGCCTTTAAGCACGGCGGAAAACCAGAGCAATAAACGAGTCAGCTGAGCATGCTTTTATAGAGATGTTTTTCTTCTTTGCATTTATGCTGCACAACCATGGCTTCTGAATTTTAAAGGCAATAGTGCAATAGGGATAGTACACTCTCTGCTTGTTAGGGTGGTGCATGTTCCAGAATGCCATGAACATTGAGAGGTGGGACCTGCGAAAGAAGATGATCAAAGAAGGGTATCGTTACATTTCAACTCGATGGCTGATAGTCGAAGGAAGCTCGCCTGGGATATGCCATGAACATTGAGAGTTGGGACTCACGAAAGAAGATCATCAAAGAGCGGGCTTGATACATTGCAATTCGATGGCTGATAGTCGAAGGAAGCTCGCCTGGGATATGGAGTGGCTGAGTTCATGACAATGCTAGAAATGCACCCAGATCGTGAGCATGGTAATACACAAGTGGCACTGGCATCTGTGCCCCGGCAAATATTTTGCTTACACCTACTCTCGTTGACAAGATAGAAGCAAGCTGCCAAGAGTGGTAATGTTTTCCATTTAACTTTTTTTCTACTCTACGGCGAAGAAGAAACTCCCAGCCCATTTCGCCCCTCCCCTCCCTTCCCCCCACCTCTCTGGGGAAGATTAGAAAGCAGCCTGCATAGACGCAATATTTGCTGAGTTTATTTAGGAAGGCAGGAAGTGAAAGTGACACTTCACACAAAACCCACAGAGAGGGGGTGGGTCTCAGACCTATCGATTATTTGTTTATTGGCGTCTCAGCTTTCGCTGCCGTGGATGCTTTTCTCATTGTGCCCGGCAGTGCAAAAAAGGCTATGACCTGGATAGACCAATAATTAAGGTGCTGACCATTTGACATGTAACTGCCCTCTTAGCGCATGTCTAAAAGTGCATATTTTTAGGCACATAACCAAGATTTTGTTTTGAGGGATGGGGGGGGGGGGCGGAGACTGGCCTATGAAAAAACGGCGTAGACGAGGGAAAAGGAGAGCAGGTCCTAGCAAAACTGGAGATTTCAGGGGAGGGGGGGCTACGTGCAGTCGCGAACAAAAGAAACGCAAACAGTCGGTTCACGGTTTTCAGTGCTATGCTGAAGCTTGGGACCCACGAAGCTAGGGTTCAACACATCGGAGCAGGATGTGTTAGACCTTAGCTTGGCGGGTTCAAGCTTCAGCATAGCGCTTGCAGTGTGCTGAAAACCATAGACTCACTGTTCGCATTTCTTTCGTCCTAGATTGTACCTGCTTACAGCGCAGGCACATATGCAAGGTCGACAGCTTCAGCATTTTTAGTCCGGAAACTCCTTCTACTTGGGGAGAAGTTGAGCAAGAGAAACTCTCTTTTTTTGGTGTTTGAACTCGCAATGGATTGTTTCTTTTGGTAGTGGTTTTAGAGTTTCCCGAGAATGCAGCCACTGGCTAGAGTTGCCACCCGTCAATGATGTCAAGACGAAGGAAGATAGCCTTTTGGGTGGTCTTAATTCTCTAGCCAGACTTGCCAAAGTGGGATACTCTGTGACAAGTACCGA